ACCCAAAGGACAAACTGGACATTTTTCTCTCAGAAAGAAGTCTGTTCAGCATCATCATGCTCTGGTGTATTCAACGTATTTTTACTCAAACACGGTTGTAGGTACTTGCTAGGCGCTATAGAAATGCTTAAGTTAGGGGCAACCTTACCCGTTAACCGTTGTTTGCAGAGCGGTAGACTGCTCCGGTTGCCAAGATTTCGTCGCGTAATTTATGAACCATAAGTATTGGGTGTAAAGTCGCAGAGAACTTCAATAAAACATGCACACCGATCACACCCGCCTAAGAAGGGACCATGAGAAAATTCCAATAGGTACATTCAAAGAAATGTGATTTTGGGGGCCGTTGTGACCACCATCACGATCCCTGATCTACCTTGTGGGCACCTGGACCATGAAATATCAACTAGAAAAAATGCACCTCCGATTAGTATTCTGTTATTTCATTAATATCCTCTTAGTATACTTGCAGTACTCGTCCAATTAGAAATAACATCGCCTTGAAAATAAACAACTTAATTCAATAACGCTAAGATTCGCGTCTTCCTCACAGCATATGTCATTTACTACTATACTTAATAACTATTTCATCTGGGCTAATGGTTCTCTTCAATGCATGTAAAAGATCGTCTTCCAGAAAACCATGCTCCTAAGGGCCACTGGCAAATGTCAATAGCGAATTCAGGTCAAATTAGGCAAAATTTCATGCGATTTGCTTCGAACTCAAAGAATATATTTAGTTAAATTTAATTGGCTCCAAATTATTCAAGGTCACAAAATACTACATTAATTCATTCCCTACCGAAATTATTACGCAGTGCAATGCATTCGATGGTGTAGTGTGCCACAGAATATATCGAATAAACTACATTCATTTGAATTGGCAAACATCATTTCAAATACCTCTTTGCTTGAAGATTTAAATCAAAGCAAATGAATTGGTCGATATGCAATTTAGATCAATTACACTATACGTTGCCACACGTACTATTGCGGTGATTCTAGTAAGCAGTGGATTGCACTGGCTGGCGAAGAGACTCAAAAATTTAATTTTGGCTTACTTTTAGCCAAATGCACGCTATGTAAAAAATATCGCCTTGATAATTACCATGTCATCCTGGCATCTCCTGGATTTCTGAAAAACAGTTCGCACATAGTTGGTCTGCTACTGGATGATATTCTCTTTGTCTCTTAAATAATATCAAGGAGGGAGCTGAATCAGTTCAACCCCTTTTTACTGGTCAGCAGACATGACAGAGGCCTATTTGGGCATACACTACGAATATAGAGCTAAATCATTTCGACCGTTGAACCAAAATCCCACTTTACTTTGAATTTTGGAGTACGTAGAGCTTACATCATCGATGGTTTGTTAAATTTAATGCGATATTATGAGTCATTATTGAATGATTTTGATCTCTATTTGTAATGCATGCTATGTTAGTCTTTATTCATCGATAAACTCTTAAATTAAGCGGGAATTTTCAATTTGCTGTTATAGAAAGTTGCTCTCATCACAGGATTTTGATTAATGAGACTTCATTTGTTGAAAAAATAGTTTGCTTTGATGCTAAGGATGATGCGGACTCTTGTTTCTGCAAGAGAGAATTTCATTTTCTCTGGAGCGTTATCTGACATTAATGGGGGCATTACCGAACTGCACTAAGTGCGAATCTCGCTTTTTTCATTACTTGGCACATTGCACTTGTTAACGGAAGCGGTATGCAGTAAAGTAATTAGCCCTTGATGGATTCCGGCTGATCTGCCTAGGTAAGAAAGGAACGTAATTAATGATTTCGTCTTGCATTTCGTGCACTAGTGGAATCAATGTACGTGTTTTAGGCAGCATTTTTATTTTACTCCTCATCCTAAGTCTTTCTACAGGTAATGCATGGTAAAACTTGCTTAATTTAGTTGCCCTCTTATTATCCATGTTGGTGGAATGTACCGTGCCTATGGGACACTTGGTACTCCAATTAGTGATGGGCGGGTGGATGCGTCAGCAGATTTCTGATTGCCAGTCATTTCAGAGCCCAATTATTCTGTCAATAAGGTGGTTCTGAGTCTGTTACATTGGCAGTAGTTTTCCTTTTGCTGCTTTTAGGCCGGTGGTCCTCTGATTAGGTGTGGATACGCGTGATGGCCAGTACATATGTCCTTCCCCCGAATTCGGTTCCATAGAGGAGGAAACTGCAGATCCACCAGGGTAACCTAGAGGGATCGGTGGTATTGCAGTCAAGTATCTTCTTATTTGCATGGAAGCTCGATGACTGGGATGATGAGAATATATGTGGCATTCATGAGACGATGGATGATGAGGTGGGATTAAGGGGGAGATTCGCCACCTCGGTTTGACTTGAGTCTATTTCCCCATAAAACAGTTTTCACATTCTCTGCGAATTTTATCTTTTAGGTTTCTGTACATGCATGTGCTTGATTGTATGCTTCTTGATTCCTTATAATTTAACCCGACTCAATGCTTATGCCTCATTACCGATATTTGGAGTTTGGTAGGGTGAGAGTGGGTGATTGGTGAGGAGGAGTTAAGAACCAATGTATGTGTTGGGGGCTGTCGGTCGCGATCCTGGAATAAGGCACTGGGCTAATTTCTCTGTGGACGCGGCTACTACTGATACCGTTTACCTTTTCAACCGGCCCGGATACTTCCCCTCATCTCAACTCCTTCTACCAGTCTGGATGCGGTCCACCATGGATCATTTCGCATGTCTACGTAGTCGTTTCCCTACAAATATTTTTTTGAGGATGCATAAAGACGAAGCCTTCTACGGGCCTCAATTGCTGGATGATGTTAAGTATTTCATAAACAAGTAAAGCAGGCCTTTTTTAAAGGTGCACTTCCAAAGGGTTTGTGTATTGCATGTCATGATCCTTTGTTTATGGATATTATTTGGCCGGCCAAATGTTAGTAAATGAAAATCACGCTTTCAACCTCTGCTATCCTAATCTACGCATACATCACGAACTCACACATTAGAACAGCCATTAATTTGATGCAGACCCACTAGGGTAACCAGTCGAGTATCTTTTCAGTTGCATGGGAATTCAATGCTTGGAATGGTGGGACTGGAAGTGGTATTTACGCAACGATGGGCGAGGTGGTGGGAGTGAGGGGAGGATCCACCACCTCGGTTTGACTTGAGGACATCTTCGATATTCCTTGCAATTTTCGTCTTCTTTTGGGGCTCCATACGGTTGTGTCCGTGCGCGTTCGGACTTCTTACAATTTAAGTGGACCAAATACTTGTGCCTTATTGCCCATATTCGGAGTCTTGCGGGGTGAGAGTGGGGATTTGGTGAGAAGGAGATAAGGGCTGATTTGTATGTGATAGGGATTGTGGCTCGCGATCCTTGAATTTGGTACTGGACTAGTTCCACTCTGGATGTGTCCACTACTGGAACCAATTGCTTATTCATCCGTTTTGGATTCTTACCCCTACCTCAGCTCTTTCCACCGGTCCAGATGCAGTCTGCTGCGAATCAGTCCGCATGTTCACGTAGTCGTTTAACTACTAACAGGTTTTAATTGGGCAAGAAGACGAAGGATTCTGTAGTGGTTGCCTGAGTAGTAGTTGGAGCTGCCGTGGTTGTCGGTGGTGGGCTATGTTTACAAGCATGGGCAAACACGAGGGCAGTAAGTAAGTAGACGAGACTGACTTTGGAGAGTTCCATGACGC